GTGTGCCTTACATAAAAACTTTAGAGCAGCCAGTAATAGTCAGACCAGCGTGAACTTCATCTACAATAGGAGTCAAGAAAGCAAAAGGAGAAGGAGAGTCCACCAAGGAGACAACCTTTAGAACTGCGGTGTACGGTGACAAAATTTGTACTTGTCACTAAACCTTGGCTAATATCCAAAGTTATTTTAAAAGCTTATCTTTATCACTTTGGTACCTAAAAATTTATCCACTTTTTACTTTGACATCCTAAGGTTTTTTTTTTAACATTATGATACCACAAATATCAATCTCATCTCACTTTGATTTTGTCAGATTTACTGTTAAATTTAAATCATGTGCTTAGTATGTGATACCTCGTTTACCACTGATGGAAATATTTAGTTGTTTGGATCCCAAGCGATAGAGTAAAATGGACCTAAATATAATACAAACTTAATGAAAGAATCGATCTAATTAATTTGGACGGGTATCAAAGAAAAGTGAAAGTTTAGACCATCAAAGTGAAAAAAAATCAATAAAGCTGGGCACGAAAGTGAAAATAAGCCTCCTATAAAGAATCATTTCTACTTCTATTTAATACACATGAACGCACTCCGAGAAAAAGGAGCAACACATAATTAATCCACGGAACCCCCAGCTCACAGGTAACATATTCCTTCATTCCTTGTTCCTTGCTACTGTAGATTGAGCTTCCAAATTTGACAAGGTCCGTCTTAATAATTTCTATAGAGTCCACACACTTTTCTCTTGGGAAATCCTTCACTGTCACCAAATCTTTCTATTTCTGTGCTAAAATACCAACAAGGGCTCAAATAAACCAAACTGACCCCTTCAGTTCTTCTCGGACTTTTATTTTTCAAAGATTTTGACCAGTAACGACGATAATGACAGGGCTGACGAAGCGTGATGAAGATTGGTTGACTGCTAACTCTGACCATGACCAAAACAAATACTAAAGGTAATGTTTTTCTCTTTCAAAACCCAAAGTTTTGCCTTGAATCATTTTTCTCTTTCAAAACCCAAAGTTTTGCCTTGAATCATTCTTAAGCCCAACTTATCCGTACTGAGTTAATTTTTAACTTAGTTTCTGTTTCACCTCTCATATATTTGATATAGGATAAATTTTCAAAACAATCCCGTTTACAATAATAATCACAATAAAAGACACATTTCCAACTTATTTTCAGAAACCGACCTGGTTTCAGTCTCAATGCTGAAATCATGTCGGTTTCTGGAAAAAAAATTTGAAACTTCACAGGAGTTCAACTTCTGTGAAGTTTTCATAGTTCAATTTTTTTTTAACTATGAAACTTTACGGGAGTTGAACTCCCGTGGAGTTTAGTAAAGCTTACTAAACTTCACGGGAGTTCAACTCCCGTGAAGTTTCGGAATTTTTTTTTCTTCAGAAACCGACTTGGTTTCAGCGTTGAGGCTAAAACCAGGTCGATTTCTGAAAATAAGTTGGAAATGGATCTTTTTTGGGGATTAAAATTCCAAAGATGACTGTTTTGAAAATTTTGTCCATTTAATATATCAGCAGCTATATTTGGATTTATGATGCTGCACAGGGAATAATTTTTTTAAATTGAGCGGGTTTAACAAAAACTAGGATAAAACACTGGGTTTAGAAATAACGACAAAGAAGCCTGAGATAAACCCCAAAGGACCAGCAACATTAGTCCACGTGAACCATAAAAGAAGAGGCTTGGACTTGGTCCAAGTCTTAAGTAGAGTTTAGTTAATCCCCTGTTAATGAAAACCAATTAAAAATATTTATGTAATCCTTTTACAATAAAATTGATTCATTTCAATAGTAGGTAACAGAAAGAAACTTGCATGTGAAAGGGAAAAGAGAGTATTTTGGAATTGAATGAAGAAATTAAAGCAGAATGGGATTTTGGTCTTTAATTAGCCGTTGCCACCCACCGTTGCTGGCAAATTGAAGAAGCGAGATTTTGCGGTGATCTCCTCTTTCCTTTATTATTTACACTCTCTTTAATTTTGCGGCGGCCATTTGCATAAAACTCCCTGATTTTTACATATTTGTCGTAATTCAGTAGACAGAGGGTGTGTTTGTGCGTGTCCCGTTTGTTTTTAAATTTATTTTTTCTTTTTTTTTGAGTTTTGTAGAGAAATACCATAGTGTGAGTTTGAACCAAAGTCACATCAAGTATAACGTGAAAAACAATGATCTAAAAATCAAACGTGAAAAACAATGATCTAAACAGAATAAATCAACTAAATATAGTTGAAGACAATTGGAAGGTCCCAAAATTCATTATAAACTATTGATTAGGAGATTAGTACCAGTGATTTATTTTATTTTTTCCAAATAAATCCGTCATAGCCATTAACATGACGCCATTTATGTATGACTTACTCACAATATTGTTTCTAAGTGGAGAGTGATTTATTTGAAGTGAGAAATTCTACGCTTCTAAATAGAGAATAGAAAAAAACGAGAAGTAAAAGACTCAGGTAATAGATTTTCTATGCTAACAGTACAATATATTTACTGGATGGGTATATGACTTAGTGACAATCATTCGTGAACTTTCTCACTTCAAATTAAGTAAATGACGTTTCACGTTAAACTATCCTGAAAAGAAAAATTACAGATTTTTAGCGTGGTTTGCCACTGCGTCACGAGCTCTGACCCATTCAAAGTTTAATTTTCTACATCTTAGTACCATAATTTTATTTATTAGTATTTTAAACAAACAATATAAGAGAAACATATGTTTTTGCTTAGAAAGAATTATTAATAATCGAGAAAATTGCAGATAATTTCCTTATCTACACTTATCAACCATTGGCTATTCCGTTAGCATATAAAACCCCTAAAGTAATGAGAGTAATATTTGCTATTTATTATTCTCAAAATAGTGAGTTGATGTGATGAATAATACTAGAAGCCCGCAATCTTAATATTTGAAGGGGTCATACACAAAAAAATGTCCAGTCTTCTCCTCCTGACTCTCTCTCCTACAAGAAAAATTCCCAAAACCCACGCGTTCAGTTCCCCTCTCCTCTCTTTAAACCATTTCCCTCTCTCTAAAAAACTCCCTCGCTTTCTCTCTCCTCCATGCCTCCAAACCTCCGATGACAATTCCCCTCA